AATTTTTGACCACAATTGGACCCAAAGTTTCTGTTGTTAAGTGAGACATTTGTTAAATGAGGTTTTCCCCCTTTTTACCTGGTAACTTGTTTTAAGTGAATCTGGTTTCCCCATTGACTTTGCTTGTGAAAATGTGATTGCAAAAGGTGATCCCATGACCTTGGGACAAAGTAAAGGTCATAAATATGAAGCAGTTGCCAAGCATTTGAATTTTGATCACATGATGATGTGGATGCTACAAAGATCATAACTGTGAAAAATGGTCATAAGTCACATTTTTCATTGCCGTTATAACTTTGAACAGTCACTAAATGAACTGTTGTAAATCGAGGACTACCTGTATTTCTTTATATATTTTTTCCTCCCCCCCCCACTTTTTTACCATATTATTATTTTTCTTTATTTTCCATTTTTCTTTCTGTTTTTTTCTGCACCTTATTTTTATTTTTTTAATTTTTTTAGTTTTGTATTAGTTTTATCTTTGCAACTGTAATTTTTAATAAAATTATTGAAAAAAGGAAATTAAAGTCAAGTAGCAAAAGTGCAATGCTTAGAAATAATTGCTGTAGTCCTGGCAACTGACAGTGTTCTAATTTCAACAATATTTCAGTTGAAAGAAAATTAATCCACCAGAAAAGAACTGCAATTCTGAATATACTTATCGTAGGAATAAATGAGTCTGTCAGGTTTACTTTTGCTCAATTTCTCATTTTTTTTCAAAATTAAATTCAGCTTTTCCCCAACTTCTACACAATTTTTCTATTACAGTTTGCATTAGAATCATGCATTTTTCCTGTTTATTTCAATTTACAATTTTTAATTGTAGTTCACCTAAAACCTTTCCTCAAAGACAGCAGCTCCCACCCATTCACTGATCCATTCAGTATATCTAATCTACCACAAAGTTTTTGTTTCTCAACTAAGAGTGTTCTGCCTTAGAGCTTACTATGAATATTAGTGGTTTTATGTTAAGGAAACAGAATAGAATCCTGGAAACTAAAATAAGAACCTTCAGTTCTCATTTATTAATGAATTCATTGTGATATAACAATGTTAAACATTTTGAATATCTTTTTCCTAGGCTCTTTGCAACCTGGACTGAGCTGCCATTAATGAGATGGCAAATTGTTAAAGAACTCTTCTCTATCCATCTCCTCTTCATCTATGTTATATCTGGCATTGCTTTGCTACATTTCCATCTTCCTCTCAATTGCTTACACTTCTATTTTTTTTAACCATTTATTTTTCATAATTAAATTTAATTTCCTAAAATACGTTAGAACAGAAGGAGAACTTTGTCAGATTGAGCTATAGATATATCAACCTCTGGCTGTCCAGATGTTTGAAAATCACACAAGTTAGGCCTGAAAGCAATACTGCTCTCACTATTCCTTAGCAACTGGTTTTGGAAAGACAGTAAATCTGTTTCTAGAGATTTGTATACGTGATAACATGAGATGGTGTCAAGCTTTTCATAGCTGATACCAGTTGGATGTATACATGCAATGAGTCAAGGATGAAGACCTCTAATGAATACATTAATTAGAATAATTAGGAAAGCAATTAAAATAAATAATTACCCAATATAAAAAGCAAACATTATTGATAATGGCTTCCAGGTGTAATCATTTTCTCTCTCTCTATCATACATGGCACAACTTGCTGAAGGCCACCCACATTTGCACAAGATGAAAGGTACCTGTACCTCATTACTGCAATAATGGTTCTTTTTCTTTTGACTTTCTCTAGCTATCTTTCATAGCTGTTGCGATATCCTGACACAAGACTGACCTATTACAACAATAATGTACAGGTGACAACCACTTTTCTTTGAGAAGTGAATGGCTGCGAGTCCATTTATGACATAAAGATGTGAGGAAACAAGAAGGATTTGAACTTTGGGACAGATATATCTATCCTTCCTGCCCCCCCCCCTTCCATACACCTATTAGTAGTTGCTCCGTACAGCAACCCTAAAAGAAGTATTATAGCTGCTTGTTATTAGGGGCCTTTCTAATATCTGCAATAGAAAAAAATGTCTGTGAATCTTTGCCTTGAGTATTTTAGTTCAAGAATTTGTTTGAGTAAAAGCTAGTAGCACTGAACTCCTTAACAATTAATCTGTGAAATTGCCTTTTAAAGTAAATCAAATTGATGACCATCACCTCATTTACTGGTAGCAAATGCGGTAGCTTAACTATGATTACCTACAGAACTTCTTACTTTTTGCAATTCAAAAAAAGTTTTAAAAAAATATTTCTCAACTTTTCCGTATATTTTATACACGTTATACTTTCTTCATCTACCTTCTTTCTAAAAGACAAATGCTGTAGCCTTTCTTTATAGAAAGCCTAGCATCCTAATTACTCTGATGACCTTTTTTAACATTTTTAAAAATATTTTTCAATTATGTGGATCAGAGGAAGTGACATACAGGTAGTCCTCAACTTAAAACAGTTTGTTTAGTGACCGTTCAAAGTTACAATGGCACTGAAAAATGTGACTTATGACCATTTTTCATAGTTACAACCTTTGCAACATCCCCATGATCATGTGATCAAAATTTAGATGCTTGGCAACTGACTCGTATTTATGACAGTTGCAGTGTCCCAGAGTCATGTGATCATCTTTTGTGCCCTTCTGACAAGCAAAGTCAATGGGAAATCCAGATTCAATTAACAACCAGTTTACTAACTTATCAACTGCAGTGATTCACAACTGTGACAAGAAAAGTCGTAAAATGGAACAAAAGTCACTTAACAAATGTCTCATTTAGCAGCAGAAATTTTGGGTTCAATTGTGATCGTAAGTGGAGGACTATCTGAACTGGCTAGTTCTCGTCTACTTACTGAGAAAACAGTTTCATTGTAAAACAGTTTTATATATTAAAACACAAACTTTGTACCCTTGCCTGCCATCTGTGCGGCATTTCATCCATAGAGCTCAAAAATGACATAATATATTAAACTTTGGGGGTTGTAGCAAATGTTCATAGATTGCATGGAAATAAATTTGTAATCTGTTTATCGTGTATTCACTCTATATTTTATCTTAAGGTTTTAGTCTTCTAAACTTGCTGCTTTCAGTTTATTCTATAACATGATGATTCTAATGCAAGAGAATTTCTGCTACACAGCAGGACTTCAGTTTGCTGCTGTTGTTATTATTTTTACTACTACAATGGACATCGTATCCTAAATGTAGGTAATGTATCTACAAAGTAAATGGCTGTAAAATAACCAGACAGTTTTTCTTACTTTTTTTAATATACTGATCAAAGTTATTTTGTATATTGGGAAAGAGAAGACTGAACCAGATTTTTTTCCCCTTAAAAAGTACTTTCTTAATACTTCAAATAATTTAAATGTAGTTTTCTCATAATAATATTTAAGATCACCAAAACATGTGCAACACAAATATTATTTTTATTTCAAATAATTGTTGAAAATGTTGTTTTACAGTTTTTGTATATCATTGAAAATATATACCTAAAATATGGGTGGTGTATTACTCACTTTACCATTCTTTGGATGAATTATTCTAAACATTTCTGATCACATTTTATTTTATTGCATATAAAATTTCTGTCTCTATATACACATTATATAAGTGAAAAGTTCCATAGAGGGAGAAATAAGCAACATGTTGGCAGTTCCAAACCCTAAACCAATAGGTAAATGAGACTTTTTAGTTATAAAAAATAAACATTTGTTGAGTTTCCTAAACTTGTAAAAGAATTTTTTTAAAAAATGGTAACAGAATTAAAGAATTAAATATAAACGTATCAACTCACCTCACCAAATTAGTAGATAATTAATATAAAGTAGAATTTAAAATAATATAAAAGCAGCCTCCAAACCAGAAAGCAAATATAATGATGAATCAACAATCTAAAATGCACTAAGCAACTCAGGAAGAAAAAAAGTTCATTATCTGGTGCTAAAAAACAAGCAAGTAAACAAAACCTCAAAATGTAACCACTAAATAAGGCAAGAAAGAGTATAGATTAGATGACATCAAAAAGCCTCAGGTGAAATTATATAGCCTGTGATGTAAATTTGTGCACACTCATGTGGGATACAAATGTCCACACAAAAAGCCCCAAGTGAGATGCTTTTTCCAAGTTAAGATTAATTGTATTAAACTGGACCTCTTTAACCCACACCTTACAACCACAAACCACATCACAGATATGATCATCACGTATAAGGCCATGTGCAGTTTCTATACATTCTCTTTTTATCAGTATATATTTATTTCCCAACTGTATCACAATTTACATCCCCAACTGTAATGTATTTCTTGAGGGGGCAGAGTAGCCCTACTGTATACCATGGGTAATTTCCAGAGGGTTGATTTGCACAATAACTCAACTGAAGGAACCTTCCTCAGTGGAAAATATTGCTGTTGATATTAGGTGAAGTGACACAACACCATGGTATTCAGTCTGCATACAGCACAAGCAGCATCTCACTGGGTGATGCAATCAACCTGTGATAAGTAGCATGCATCCTGAATCCCCTGTACCAATGAGGGCATCTTTTTCTGGATTAATCTGGAGTACAACCTATGGATGTAGTTGGATTTCGGAAATACTTGCCTGAACAACTCCCCAGGGCACACCATTCCTGTTCTATCTCTTATTTATTGTATTAGACAGAGAGGGAGAGAGGAAAAAGCACCTCTTCCTCTTCTCCTCTGGCCGCAGTTACATTAGATGCCTAATGGAAACTGAAGCGAAAGAACACCCGAGTTAAACTCAACGAGAGGTTGGGGATTATAAACCCAGGTCTCCCCCTACGTCCATAGGCTTTTCTCACACTCCCCTGCAATTACAGTCACAACCCAGGCAAAGACACGCATCGTCAGTAACAGGCGAGGTTTCCCCAGCTGCACTGGCGTTTGCGAGAGGAGAAGGACGAGACAAGGCGCGGGGGGCGGGCGGGCGAGTGGGAAGGAGGCGGGAAAAAGAGAACAGGCTCTGCTGGGTGGAATACTAATCAGGCAGGTTCCCTTTCTGCAGCGAGCCGGCTTCCTCCTCTGCAGAAAACGCGCCACAGACAGACTTTGAGAAGCTCCCGCTGCACGCCGCCGCTCAACTGTGGGGGAAGCACCTCAGGGCGAGCAGAAGGAACTTCGAGGCGCGCGTCTCCTCCGTCTTTCCCGCCCGCCCGCCAGCCAGCTGCGCTCCTGCCCTTTCATGGCTTTCGGCAGGCAGCTTTCGGGGCGCCTTGTTTTTCCCAGCGGCTGCCGCTCTTTACAAGCGGCCTCGGCGTCGCCGTCCAACTTTAAAGGTACGCGCCGAGCCGCCGAGTCCTGGCGCGTCTCTCCAAAGCGTCCCTGAACTGAGGCGAGCGCAGAGACGAGGGAAAGAGAGCGGATCCTCTTCGTGCCCCCCCCCTCCCTTCCTCCGACACCCGCGGGGCCACAGCGGCGAGCGCGCGGCGCCCATGGCAGCGCCGTTTGGAGCGCTAACTTCTCTCCGCCTGCCCCCTCTGCTCCCCGAAGAAGTGCTTCTCGGCTTCTTCGCAGCCGACGGATCCAAGCAGCAGCAGCAGCAGCAGCAGGACCCGGGGAGCGGAGGCTTGTGAACGAGCGCCCGCGGGTCCATCTCTTCTCGGGCGCCCTGACAGGGAGGTGGTGTGGAGCTCGCCCGCCCGCCCGGCAGCTCTGCTTCGCACCCTCTGGTTGGCAGCTTGGCACGAACCAATGCAGATGCAGCCCGGGTTTTAGCTGGGCTCTTTCAGACAGCCGGGGAAGCTCCGTTTGCTTTGGCGGCTGCTGCTGCAGCAGCAGCTGTTTCCACCTGCGCCTTCTTGGTTATTCATCAGCGGGCTTTCCATTCCTGGCATTTCTTCCCGAACGTGGTCTTGATTGCCAACTGATCGCCTTCGGCTGCTGCTCTCCCCGGGTGTCATGCAGTCCCTCATTTCTCCTGTGACCAAGGCGATTCTGGTGGCTTTGTTCATCTTCGCCATCCTTCTCATCCTATATGTGATTCTCTGGTACATCTGCCGAGATGTGGATTGCGATCATGGGATCTGATTGCGGATGCTGGGCAAAGGCTTAACAGGCGACTTCTCACTGCCTTCTAGAACTGTGAGGGAGAAGCGACTGACTGGGGGAGAACCAGAGGAAGGTGGAGGACGAAGGGGGTGGTAGCAATAAAGGCGAGAAAAGACAACCAAGTATTCTGGGGGTCCTAGAGGGAGAACTACAGTCGAAGTGAGCAAGATTGACCTTCAGGGATCAGGATGACCTGGTGAGTGTCTCCTTTTCAAATGGAAAGGAAAAGAAACAAAACTTCTTATATTTGATTAAGTACAGAAAAATAAAATCCAAATATTAGTTTATTTGGTCCTTTAGAAAGTATTGCAGTGTAGGGCACTTTTGACCCTATGGTGTTCTCTATGTATCTACAATCACCTACAACCTCCCCCCCCCACCCCCAATCTGTTTGCTTAAGGATATGGCAAGGTTTTGTCTTTTCCCTTATTTGTGTTTTTCATATGGTTTTTAAAGGAAAATGCAAAATAGTTCCTGCTGCCACTTGCAACTCTGGATCTCAACTTGAATATGATGACATTAAATAAGAAATGTGAATCTAACAAGCAAAGTAGATATCTTAGCAAAACAAAAAGCTTCCCATTGTTGTTATGTTCCTTTTTCTTTAAAGTCTCCTTTTAAAACATCCAGAATCAATGTATGTGTGACTGAAAAGGTGCAAGGCTGTTATCAAGGACTGTTAGAGTGTCTTCACAGCCCCTAAATTGGTATGCAGAAGGTAACTGCACTGCTAAACAGACCATAAAGCTAAGTCCATTTGGCAGAAAGAACAAAACACTTTGTGAATTCAAAAAGTAGAAGGTCAGTTGAAAATTATATCTTTTGCACTCAGGATTCCAGTGTAACAGGAACTCCCCCCTCCCACACACCATGTTTTATGGCATAAGTATTATGGAATAATTCTCCTACTCTTGTTTTGCATATGTACTTTTAAAAGCCTGTTGAAGGGTCTTGGGATGGAGGAGGGGGCATAAGTGTTTTCTGTTTGCTTCTTTTCATTTTAAGTTGAAACTATCAGCATTTAAAAAATCTATACTTTTTCTTACTATTGTAGTAGATGAAAACCATTTCATTAAAATAAATTTGGAGTTTGGCTACCAAATTCAACTGGAGGTGGATAAAACAGGGTTTTCAACTGAATATATGTCCTTCGATATCAAAAATATTAGAAACACATTGAAAGTGCATCTTTCCATAAGCATGAAAGATCATGAGCATTAATATAAGGGAAGTAATTGTGATAGCAGTAGATTGTCATGACCCAGTCTTCCATCTAAGAGGTGTGAGGTGAAAATATAAGATACGGGAAATAATCAAGGCGGGTATGAAATGAAATGGTGTGTGTTTGGGGGATGGGAAAAAGCAATAAAATATCTCACTGAATTAACAGAACAGAGTTTTAAGAACCACAGCATATATTGTAGGAATATGTCTCCTAATTTATGTATGTGCTGTGTGATACAGAGATACTGTTTCTTGCGCAGCATATCTGTTAATTAAGAGAGACATCTTGGGGGTCAAAAGGGGAAATTGTTCTTCAAATACCCAAAGGTCAAAGTGTAACTATCGTGATCTGATGTTGGACGGGATTATCTAAAAGTGATTTACCTCTAGAATCCCTGTTTATACAGCCTTGAGAAATGGGAGAGTAGGGAAATATGAAATAAGAGTCATTAAATATTGGTCCATATTACCTTGTATGTCATAGGTTTTTTTGAGTTGGATGGTTGGATCAGTTCTGACATTATTGGTAATATATTGTGCCAAGTAATATGGTCGCAGCAGCAATGTCACCAGTGTTTACATGCCTGGCAACTTCACTGCTGAATCTGTTTGTTTATCCTTTCCCTCTTTCCACTGAAATGCCTGCTGCTCAAGACTATGAGCATGTGGAAGGTCACAAGCAGATGTTTAGCATCTTTTGTGAAAACCAGTTTTTCCCAACGACACAAGTTCTTCTGCTTAAATGTTATTAAGAATAATATGTACTGTACTAATGACAACAGAAACATCACCCAATGTCTTTATAAGACCTTTCAAGTGTTAGGCATGCAATTCCCAGAAGTGTTCTGCATATATCCACCTGGAAATGTACAAGAGTTATTCAATACAAGAGCATTTTATATATTTTTTTTTATTGCAAAAGTTTTACAATTACATTTTCACCCCTTTCCCCCCCCCCACCTCCCCCCCCCAGAGCATTTTATATTGTACAGCTCTTGTTCCTGCTAAGTGAGGATTCTGAAGACAATTTTCTAATGGATTTTGCCACTGGCACTGTAAGATAAGAGAAAATTATATGGAAAAGCTAACATCTGCCATCTCTCTCTATATCTATTCATAGATTTCCTCTGTTTTTCGCAGGCATTATTATCATTAACAAACTAATACTTGGATATTTTTTGTGTTTTTTAATTGCATATAGAAATATAAATTCATAGACATGACACATGATCAAGCAGTCTCATATTTGTACAGACTGTAAAATTCTGTTTTCATCCATATATCTTATTACTTCAGTACTAGGTAAGCTGTTCTTAAATTTCTTCTACAACATAATATATTAAGGATTAAAAATATAATTCATACATCAAGCTATTTTTCAATAAAATGGTTTTTCAAGATAAAAATACATAATTGTAAAATATTTACCTTGATATAAGTCCAGGATAAAGCAGTGGGACATATTAAAGGAAAATGTATTTTTATAGTGCAATCTCATATATTCTTGGAAAAAAGCATTTGGCATTAATTGGGGCTTATACCCAGATAAGATTGCATTGCAGTCCTTAGAATCCTATTTTGTGCATGTTTGCATAAAGCCACTAGACTTCATGGAATTTAATTCTTAGTAAACATGCATAAGAGTTTACTACTGTTATTATAAATCATTCTGCCAATTGTTTCAGTGTTACAGAATTTTTAAGGAAATAAGATAAGTAAACCAGGTTTTATAAACATACCGTACGTAATTCAGTATTGTATAAAGCTTTTTGCTCTTAAAGATACATCTTGAATGTGCAGATATATCAAATTAAGTTTTCTGCTTTTATCATGTATCTTTTAGAAACATAAAAGAAACTATGTGAATTTGTATTTAAGTGATTATGTAAGCAGGATTGCAACTGCTGTTATTTGTGAACTACTTTAGAACTTTTAGTGTATCCCTAGGAAAAGATATTTTTTTTGTATATTCTTGAAGTTATGAATTGAAGTTGTAAACCCAATTTTTACCTTTAATACAGAAAAGCACCAGTGTGAGAGAAAAGCATGTTGTTTAGAATATTCTCTTTTTCACTTCAATTAATCTTTGTACACAGCAAGGTTAATAAGAGTAGATATCTATCAAATAGTTACATAACTTTTGCAACAGGAATTTAGTAAAGTATCTTGTACCAGAAACAATCTAAGATGATATCTGAATTTTTCTAGTTCCTGATTTTTCCCAGCAATGTCGTAAATATAGGATAGGAATCTACAATAGGAAATGGAAAAATGAAGCAATAAAGTAATTTGTGTAGTTTATTAAATGATATTGCTAGACATTTATCAATCTAATCAAATTTCTACATCCTGATGTCTTCCTAATGGATTTGACAAGGAGTTAAAGTTCAACACATATGTTGTTCAGATATAGTTGTGGACAGTTGGTCTAATCTTATTTTCAGAGCTGTACTGTAAAAAAGAAATAAAATCATGTTATTTATGATCCTTTGAGTTTTGGAGAAAAAGTGACATATAAAAGAATATTAGTGATGCTCTTTTCTAGTCCTAGACTATCAGCCATTACCTATAATTATGATTTTCTTAGAGACATAGTAATTTCTCTCTTGACAGGCTCTATTATGACTTTAAGAGCTGCATATAGTAGTTCTTGAGTCTTCCTATTTTTTCTACTTGATTCCACAGGGACAGGAAAAATCAAGTTGAATTCCATCTTGCTATAAAGCTGTAAAATATGCAGAACTGAAAATTTATTTTCCTAGAGTCAACTTTATTAATATACCTTCTTACTTACCTACTTATCTAAGTAGCTTATTGCTAGTTCAATCAAAACCAACTCTAGGCCTGGTTGTATCCAGGTCTTAATACACTTTCTAATGCCAAAAGGGAAGGCTATTTAATATGGAGGAAGCAGCTAAATGAGCAAAAATATACAGGCAGCTGCCAAACTTGATCTTATTGGATGAGTAAGTGTTGGAAGAAGGTGTATTTTGCAGTATATATTGGAATAACCGGTATATAAAAAACACTTAGAAAACTTCTAAACAATGTAAAATGTAAAGGAAACCATTAAATAACCTTTTTGTTTTGATAATATGTAATTGTATGGTCAGATCTTATATATCTTCTCTGAAACATGCCTGTAGGAATGATCAAAATGCTTAAATAAAAACAAAGTAATTTTTTCAAGTTGTTAGCATTTGAAACAAACAAAATCACCCATTTTGGATTAGTAAACAGTTTTGGGTATTTAGTCATGAGACAGGTTAGGAACATTTAGTCCTAGTGTAGAATAGCATTGATGGGATGTCGATAATTTATAAAAGTGGACTATTTCGTATCCCTCACTTTTCCAATTCTAGTTACCAGCTGCATATTTTGACAGATTTTACTTCACAAATTGCACTAAAAAGAATACTTAGAAGTTGTTATCTTGTCCTTCCACTGAGCTATTCTTTCTGCTGGCTAACCTTTAGTGTAATGTTCAAATTATAGCTCTGTCATGAAACATCCTTGTGATGATCTTTTCCTTTAGTATACTTTTGTTCTGCCACAATAGAGGGATCTGAAAGTCTAAAGTGCAACCTAATTGAGTGGAATTTGGGGAAGATACAAAATAATAGAGACTACAAAGTCAGTTTTTAATACATTCCTTAAGGTCCATAGGTTAACACTATCCTGTCACTATTTCCCTATCGCAGAACTAGTCTGGCTCCCTGAAAGGGCAGTTATTCTGATTTCAGCTCAGAAGGTTCTTGATGCTCTCCCTTCTTCTGGCACCTCCCAAAACTCCAACTTTTAGTTCCTTTCTCTTGCTGGAATATAACTTGGAAAAAGGTTCCCAAAGTTGTTCTCTTCTGATTTGCAACTCCATCACCCACTTATCTCTGAGTGTCCTCGCAAAGTAATTTGCTGGGAAGCTAGATATTCAAAAACAGAATTACTTCAAGTACATTATCAGTTACCAAAAAT